GGAGGCTGGAGAAGGATGGGTAAATGAGAACGAGGGCTGGGCAGACGATGGGGAGGGGAAGGGGTAGGAAAGAGGGGGATGGGGAAAAGAAGGTGGAGGGGGTTCGGTAGAGGACAAGGAGAGTGGGAGGAGGAGGAAGAAAGTAGGAGAAGATGGAAAAGAGATGGGGAAGGAAAATGGGGCCAGGAGACAGGAGTGAGGGGGTGGCAGAGGAGAGGAGACAGCAGGGGAATGGGAGGGAAGAAAATAGGGCGAGGAGATGGAGGGGAGGAGATGGGCGTGGGGGAGGGGGCCGGGTGGGGGAGGGGGAGCCGGGGGGGGTGTCCCCCAGCCCCGAGCGGCGCCGCGGCCGCCGCCGGGGCTCGGTCGCTTACCTGGGCTGGGGGCAGTCCGCGCAGGTCGCTGTCTTGTGCTGATCCCGGAGGACGGGGAGGAGGAGGAGGGGGAGGCGCGGGCAGAGGTGTCCGCCGGACGCGGACTTACGGAGACCCGGACCCCCCGGTGCCCAGCGGCGCTCCCTCGCGCGCCCCACTCCTGCCTCGCTCGCTCTAGCCCCGCTCTGGCTCCCGCCGCTCCCGCGTCCTTCCACTCGGGCTCGGGCTCCGGCTGCTGCCGCCCCGGACTCTGGGAAAAGTGAATCCACCAGCACCTCGCGGACCGCGCCGCCTCCGCCCGCGCCCGCGCCCCCCGCGCCCGCGCCCGCGCCGCCGACGGCCGGGCACCCAGCCGTGCGCGCGCCCCACGTCCCCGGAGCTGCTCCCTCCCCGCCCCTCCCTCCCGAGCCGGGCGCGCGCCCGAGCCAGGGGGCGGGGGCAGCCCCGGGAGGCGCGCGCCCGCCCGCGGGCACGAGGCTCCTCCCTCCCGGCGAGGGGCGGGGGCAGCGGGCGGTGGGGGTTGGGGGGGGAAGAGAAAGCAAGAAAAAGTAAAGTGACAGCTGAGCCCCGCGCGGCCGAGGGGGGAGGGGAGGCTGGCTGGGAGGAGCTCGGAGGGGGAGGGGTGACCAGGGTGGGGGAGGGGCGAGGGGGCGAGGGGACCTTGGCAGGGACGTGGCGGGCGCGCGCGTTAAAGGGAAACACTGACAAGGAGGGGGAGGGGAAGAGAGTCAGAAAGGGATGGGGGGGTGGGGTGGAGTGGAGAGGTTCTCCCGAGGAGTGGGAAGGACGGAGGAGGTGGGGGTGGGGGGGAGAGTGTGGGCCCCAGAAACTCAACCAGAAGCAAGTGGGAACTCCCTCCCCATCTCTCTCTCTCTCTCTCTCTCCTTCTTCCTCTTCTCTCTCTCTTCCCCTCTCCTCCTCTCCTTCTCTATCTCTGTGTCCCTCCCTCTCCCTCCCTCCTT